CAGGAGTGTCCACCCAACAGATCATTCATTAAAGCAATTCCTTGCTAACCTCCTATAAACAAGGACATACAAATTGCAACTTTAGGTCCACAGTCTATGTCTAGCTCCCCAAACTGAAGTCTGTTGGATTCCACAGTAATAATGAATTACAAGTTTAACTTCACAGACAACTAACAGAGACAAGACGGGTCAAACATTCTTCCACCTACCCAAGGACATCTAAATAATTGATGCTTCCTTCACTCCCTTTTTCTCTTCTAACATTCACCTTATCTTATGTAAAATGTAGATTTTCCTGAGTCTGGAAAAAATGTAACCATTTTTTCTCACTACCCCCTGCCTTTTTTCCCCCCTCTGTATGCCTTTAAAATGTTGAAAGTTCCAAATTCCCCTTCAAAAAAACAGCCACAGATCTGTCTGTGGTTTGTGTTTTTCCAGGCACATCCTCAACTTCAGCTTAATAAGCCTCCATTGATTATGATTTTTGCCTTGGTCACTTATTTTAGGTCAACAAGAGGAAACTATGAGTGTGAAAGCCCTTTGGAGACCAACCATACCTCTGTATATATGAAAGATGGTGAGTATGACACTCTCCTCTGTCCCCTACCAGGCCCAGCCATGTTCCTTGAGGCTTGTGGAAGGAATGTGTAAGCAGCTGTTGCTGGCATTGAATTCACACCACTCAGCTCTGACCCTTCCTGGATCCTGGAAAACTCTCTGCATAGAGTCATGGTTTTCCGTCTCCAGACTACGGGCTCTGGATTTCTTTCTTTCTCTTGGGAAATTCCCATCTGGCCCCGCTTTCAGTTCCTAGGCCCTAGTTTGTGTAAAACACAAAGAAGTGGCAGGTAAAATCTCAGGACAGAAAGGGCCAGGCCAAGGGAATCCCTTCCAGGGACTCAAATCAGAGCTGGAGACATGATTAGGATATTACCTTAGAAAAAAGAAAAGAAAAAAGAGGCTGGGCGCAGTGGTTCACACCTGTAATCCTAGAACTCTGGGAGGCCAAGGCAGGAGGATCGCTTGAGCCCAGGAGTTTGAGGTTGCTGTGAGGTAGGCTAATGCCACGGTACTCTAGCCTGGGCAACAGAGCGAGACTCTGTCTCAAAAAAGAAAAAAAAAAGATTAAAAAACATGAAAAAAAAATTAAGAAAGGAAGAAGAAAAGAAAAGAAAAAGAATATTACATTAGAGAAAATGGAAGATTGAGACGGAGGGCACCCACATGGGGTCCCCAGCAAGTCAACAACAAGACCAATGTGAGACCCAAGATACCTGGCTTCCATCCCATCTGCTCCATGTCAGGGCCACCAAGGCCCTTCCCCATCTGGGTCCTCCAGTGTTCTTTCTCATCTCTCTCTCCATCCCCAGACATCCAGTTCTGCCCAAATGGATTCTCATTGTTCTCCTGACATATCATCTACTCTTGATTTACATGATTTTTTTTTTTTTTTTTTGAGACCAGGTTCACTCAGTCACCCAGGATGGAGGGCAGTGTCATCACCATAGCTCACTGCAATCTCCAACTCCTGGGCTCGAGAAATCCTCCTGCCTAAGCCTCCCAAGTAGCTGGCACTACAGGTGTGCACTACCACGCCCCACTAATTTTTCTATTTTTTGTAGAGACCGGGGTCTTGCTATGAACTCCTGGCCTCAAGTGATCCTCCCACCTGCCTCAGCATCCCAAAGTGCTAGGATTACAGGCACAAGCCACTGCACCCAGCCAATTCCATGATCTTGAATATAAGACACCTTCTTGTATACCACCTTTTCCCCTTTGTCTACCAGTAGCCTTAACTTCTACTCATCCCTCAAGGCCCACTCAAATGTTTCCTTCTCTGAATCAAAAGTCTAAACTTAGTTTGTCCAGAATCTATTCATCTCTCCCTCCTCTGTGCTCTTGCAATACTCTCTACATAGATCAATTTTTTTTTACATAGATCAATTTTAACACTTACCACCTTCCACTATAATTATCTTAGTTCTTATTAGACTATATTTTTCTTTAGGGCAGGAACTATTTCTGCTTTATCTCTCTGTCCCCAGGGCCTAGCAAGGTGTCTGGTACTCAGTTGGCACTCAATAAATGTCACCAGCTAACAAGTCACCATAACTTGTTGAACATGGCCAAGGACCTTGGAAAGAAACTCTAGGTTACTTGGGAATTTCCAGCAGGCTAGAGCTATCAGGAAGGATGGGAGGCACAGATGCCTTAGGTAGGGATCCTGTTAAAAAAAGAAGCAGGAGGAGAGACTGATGGAGATATAGGTCACAGGAGGAACAGATGAGGAATCCAGAAGGTCTGGCTGGGCCCTGGGGACATACAAACCATTCAGTCCTTGCTCTCAAGGAGCTCATGGTCTGCTGGGGAAACAAATAGGAACACAATTTTGTATAGAACTATGCTGCAGTATATCACTTCCTCCTTCCTAATACTCTTTCTTTACTTGGCTTCCAGGATACCACCAATCTACCTGGCTTTCCACTTATCTTTTTGGCCTTCTTTCCCCATCTGGTTTGCTGCTTCTTCTAGTTTACTCGAATTCTGAATATTAGAGGAAACTTTTCCATCTATACTCACTCCCTTGGTGATCTCATCCAGTCTCATGGCTTTAAACACCATCTATGTGCTGATGACTCCTAAATTGATATATCCAGCCCAGATCTCTCCTCTGACCTGAAGACCCATTGGCTTTTCTGCCTCTCTTTTCTGCATCTCTACTCTAATGGGCATCTCAAACTTAACACACCCCAAACTGAGCTCCAGATAGCACCCCCCTCCAAAAAAAATCATCTCCCCAGTCTTTCACAACTCAAAAACTGGCAACACCAATCTTCTATTTGTTTAGGCCAAAAATTTTCACTCCTTTCTTTTTTTTTTGAGACAGAGTCACTGTGTTGCCCAGGCTAGAGTGCCGTGGCATCATCGTAGCTCACAGCAACCTCAAACTCCTGGGCTCAAGCAATCCTTCTGCCTCAGCCTCCTGAGTAGCTGGGACTACAGGCATGCGCCACCATGCCCGGCTAATTTTTTCTATATATTTTTAGCTGTCCAATTAATTTCTTTCTATTTTTAGTAGAAACGGGGTCTCACTCTTGCTCAGGCTGGTTTCGAACTCCTGAGCTCAAACAATCCACCCGCCTCGGCCTCCCAGAGAGCTAGGATTACAGGCGTGAGCAATCGCACCCAGCCACTCCTTTCTTCCTCTCATACTCTACATCCAATCTGTCAGTAAACCTTGTTGTCCCCACCTTCTAAATATACTCAAAATTCGACCACTTCTTATCTACTACCTCTGGATTATTATAACAGGCTCCCAACTGGTCTCTAGACTTCTGCCACTGTCCCGCCAAGGCTATTCTTCACAGAACAATCAAGTCTCTCTGTCAAAATGTGAATCTGATTGTGTAGATTCTCTGCTCACAACCCTCCACTGGCTCCCCAACATGGAGTAAAAACTTTATTATGACCTGCAAGGCCGTATGTATCTGGCTCCTGCTCTCTGTTGCCATCTTCTGCTACTCTGCCCATAGGACGCTGTGCTCCAGCCATTCTACGCCCTATGCACTTGCTGTGCTCTCTCCCCGAAATGCTTTTCCTCAAATATCAGAAGGCTCTTTCTCTTCCTTCAGATCTTTATTCAAAGTCACCTTCCCAGTGACTTCCTTGGCCCCTCAATCTAAAATAAAACACTTCTACCTATGAAATTAATAAGAGAAATAAAAAATTAAAAACAAACCACTTCCTCTGCCAATATTTTATTCCTGCTTCTCTATTTTTTTCTCCTCAGTATTTACCACAATTTTAAAACTAAAAATTTTATCTTCTTTATCTCTCTCATTAGAATGGAAGTTGCACAAAGAGAGGGGCTTTCTGGTCTTCTTTGTTCGCTGTTAATATACCCACTACTTAGAATAGTGACAGACATATACAAGGCACTGAGTAGGTATTTGGTGAACGAGTGAATGAAAAGGGTAGACATTTCCAAGAGGCAAATTTTACTCTTCAATGAAAAGCTTTATAATAAGCAGAGCTGCTTCGCAACATAATCACATTCAAAATGCACAGTACACTACTTCTTGAACAGCTGTTACTTCATCCAATCTTCACAAGATCCCAGGATAGGAGGAAGGCTGGGCAAAGATTATGATGCCTGTTCAAGAAGAAATAGTCCTACAAAGGAAAAGGATTCGCCAAAATTCACACACCCGGCGGGACAGGAGTGCAACTGTGGATGAATGTTGGCCCTGGAAGCGGCTGGGAGGTGATGGAGCGTGACGGGAGTTGAGTTTAAAGGACCTCTGTTGCCAGAAGGCACGAGGATCTCTGAAGGGGAGGCTGAGGCAAAGATTACTAGAACAGAGGCAGTAGCAAAGCAGAGAAGCGACAAGGCTGATCTCTAAGCGGATTTGGCCCAGTCCTGGGGAGGGCTGCTGAGTTTTCCAGCGGCAGTATTCTGTGCTTGAGGCTGACTAGTCACTCAAGTCTCTACATAATCTCCAACGTCAGAACTGGACAGGCAACCTTAAGAGACCAGTGAGTCCTCCTTTGGTCTTCAGGGTCTGTGAGGACTATGAAGATCGTTGGGGGCAGCTACCATGTTCATGTATTTATCCCCAGCTTCTATAGAGCCTAGACTATAGTAGGAACGCAAATATTTTTGTTCAAGGCATAAAAGAATGAATGTGCTCAAACCAGAAACCGAGGCTGAGAGAGCACAGACAGGAGGGGCGTAAAATCAACCAGCAATTCCAAAGTAGCAGATTAATTTTCCTGGGACTCAGCAGGACAAACAGCCCTAGTACTAACGCAGGTTGCTGTTACCTCTTTTTCAGAAGGGGTTAATGAGCAAAAATTGCCTGGGGACTGAGTGGCGAGGCCAGAATGGAGAGGCCGATTGGCTGAGACTCAAGGCGGGGCCGATAGGTAGCCGCGGCACATTTCCTTCCCCAACAACGTGACCAAGGTGTGTCTAACGTCACATCCGGTCTGGTGGGCGGGAGCGGGAAACAAAAGGAGAGCCAAGACGCATGCGTTTGGTGAGTCCCGGATTCTGGTGGGTCCTTCCGCTCAGGCTGAGAGAAGAGCTTCCGGGTCGCCGCCGGCTGCCGGCTGCCGGCGCGGTAAGTACAGAAGCAAAGCTGCGGCGGTCTCGTTGCTCCTTCTTTCCTCCTTTCCCCAGAGAAAGCCAGTTCTTTTGACCCGCCTCCTCGGGAGCTCCATGTTCAGAGTCCCTCGTCCTTAAAGAGCTCCAGCTCATTGGCCGCTTCCTCGAGACTAAGCCCCACCCCGTCACACGAGATCCGTCATTCATTGGTGTCACTTCCTGTCACCCAGCATTTCTTTCAGTTAATTGGCCCTACTCATGCCGCGCTCCTTTCGGGAGTAGCAACCCTATAAGGGCAATTTTCTGTCCGAGTCCCGCCCCTGCCTTTTTCCTGTTGGTCGAGCACACGGTCATTATCGTAATGAGCAAAGAATCGGCGGCAGTGGGTTGGGCTTTCGGAGCAGAGATCTCTGGCCTGTCAGTACTTCTCTGACGTGAGAGTGGATGCTCTTCTACCTGTTATACCAGCTGGGAAGCTGAGGCCCAGGGAAGGGCAGCGGCTGGCCCTGGGTCGGTCAAATAAGTTAGGACAAAAGCGAGACCAGACACAGATCTTTTCCTTCTGCTCATCAATTCTAGTGCCCGGCCTGGATCCCTTTCGCGCGGGAGTTCTAAGCCCCGACTCAATGTGTGACCTAAAGCCAGTCTCTCCCTGTCACTGGGCCTCAGTTTTCTTGTCTGTGAGCTCAGGGGTTTTAATTCAGATTCTCTGGGACCTTCCTTTCCTGGTCAGCTCCCTCAGTCGATGAGTCAAAGCTGATTTTACTTGTTCTCTTACATGTTAGTTCATCCATTGAGTTTTCCATCTACTTATTTATCCATTTACTCATGTCTTCTAGAATGTCTTACTGAACCTTGCTTGCACATGGCACATGCCCCATCCCCAAATTTGGCTGTGATCCATGAGAGAGGTGGTTAATATCCTATATTTCTGACACTGGGTGAACATAGCATGAACCATCATAAAGGGGCAAAAAGCAGGTTTTAGTGTTTGGAGGAGACAGAGATAATTTCAGTAGAGCCTTGCTACCTCTAATTTTGTATAATTTCATAATGCCAGTCTGCATTCTGGATTCCTATTCTTCACTTGGCTCCCATTCTCTTTTCTCCCAGCCTATAAACAGCTTTACTTATCCATTAATTTACTTAATTATCAGAATAACTTTGAGGGTAATATAAGTGTTGTTATCCCCATTTTACAGATAAGGAAACTGAGGCCCAAAGAGGTTAAGTGACTTGGCCAAGGTCAGCTAGTAAGTGGTGGAGCCCGACTCAAACCCAGATCTGTCTGATTCCTAGAGGGAAGAACTGCTTCCCTGGTACCTTCCATTCTAGCCCATCCCTAAATCAAATTACAACCAAATAAAAACCAAACCACAACACATTCACCTGACCCTTTCCCTCATTCTAGGAGCCATGTCCACCTTGTTCCCCTCACTCTTCCCCCGTGTGACCGAGACACTGTGGTTTAATCTGGATCGACCCTGTGTGGAGGAGACAGAGCTGCAGCAGCAGGAACAGCAGCATCAGGCCTGGGTGAGTGAGGACCTAGCACAGAACAGTCAAGAGACTGCCCTCCAGAGAGCCATGACCCAGCCTTACTCTGAAGACCTGCCCTGGAAGAGCTTTTTGCCCAGAGCTGGGAATAATCAGGCTAGGAGCCAGGAGGCTAAGGTTCTCATCTGTATGGTACCCTAATTTGCTGGGTGACTATGGGACTTATGGGCCAGATTAGAGCCCAGGCTCCTGACACAGCCCAAGCTCTTTTCCCTAAAGCATTGGAAATAATAGTTTTGACTATTGATTGAAGACCTAGCCAATGCCATGTTCTAGGCTGGTAAGTCTCTCACTTCACCCTCACCATAATTATATAAGGAAACCAAGGCCTAAAGAGTTTAAGTAGTTGGATCAAGTTCATAAGTAAGTGGCAAATAACATAAGGAGAGAAAAGGATCTTCCTGAGAACTGGGGGGAAGTTTCTCCCCCACACTTGGGGGTCTTCTTGGGCACAGAGTGGGGCCAGTCCCATGACCCTGACCCACCTGGCTCTGCTCCTCCCCCTCTTTGCCTACAGCTCCAAAGCATCGCAGAGAAAGACAACAACCTGGTTCCTATTGGCAAGCCAGCTTCAGAGGTGAGTGGCTCCAGCCGGTGGGGCCTGTGTGGGGCCCAGGGTGGACCAAGGTTCTGCTCTAATTCTGAATATTCTGCCTTTGACCCAGAGAGCAATTATGACTCTTAGCTCTGGGTGGAGACTGGAAAGGGGAGCTAAAAGGGGGTGGGCATTGGGCCCAGCACTAAAGTCCTGCAGAACATGCTCCAGCCTGCTAGATTCAAGGAGGGCAGGGTTGGGAAGTAGCGGGTCATTTATTGACCCCAGAAAGAGGTTCCAAGTGGGCCAAGTCTTGAATTGGTCTGGGCAGGCCTGTAGGACTTACAGGCTCTCCCCTGCCCTACCAGCACTATGATGACGAAGAAGAGGAAGATGATGAAGACGATGAGGATAGTGAAGAAGACTCAGAGGATGATGAGGACATGCAGGACATGGACGAGATGAATGACTACAATGAGTCACCTGATGATGGAGAGGTCAATGAGGTAGGTGGGAGTGTGGGGGAGGGCCTCGTTCCTGGGCCCCTGCCCCTGACCTAATCGATGGCCAAGGGGTATAGAAACCCTGGATCCAGCCAGGGGCAGAATCTGGGGCTGAGGCTGGCTGAGGCCCCTCCCCACCCACACCCAGCCTCCTCTCCAGGTGGACATGGAAGGCAACGAACAGGATCAGGACCAGTGGATGATCTAGGTAGACAAAGCAGGGTGGCCTCAGGGAGATTCCAGGCCAGCCCAACCTACCCTGCACCCCTCTCACCCCTGCCCCACAGAACCAGCTGATGGCCCCAGTGCCTGAAAGTGCCCGTGGGTACCTCCTCAGCTGCTGCCATGATCTCCTTGGCACTTCCCAGGCCATCAGTTTGCTCTTGAATCCCCAAGGCCTGAGCCCACTCCACCTTTTTGGCCAGTACCTCACCCCTCGGTTGCCAGGTCTGGTTGCTTTCTAACTCTTTAATAAAGACACAGGAGTGATTTTTCTTCCCCCATGTCTATTCCCTATTTGTTGGCGGGGCCTAGAGGATTCTAGTATCTTGGACTTTGGGGAGAGGGCACTCAAGGGACATCACGCAAACCTACCTAATTGGCCAGGTAGGCCAGGGCTGGGGAAAGCCAGGGTGTTCCTGGTCCTGGACCCAGGATCCTGTGCCATTTCCTCTGGCCCAGCTTGCACTCAGCTATTTCTGCAGGATCGCTAAGTCATTGTCTGCTATTTCCTTTGATCCCACCCAGAATGGCATGGGCTGGGGAGGGGAGGTTTTCTGAGGCCCAGAGCTGAGAGTCCCCTGAAGCTCTCCCAGCCAGCTTTGTTAGTGTTAAGACAATGGATTAAATCTCAGAGCAGGGCAAGGACTCCCTTGGAGTCACCCAGCAAATCAGTGACATAGCTGGGTTAAAAGCTCAGGCCTCTTAACTGTCAGTCCATGGCTCTCTGGAAGGAGGAGGACCAGTGAGACCAAGCAGCCTGAGAGAAATTTGATGCTTCAGGTCAGTGTGGAGGCCAGAGGGGAGCAGAGGTGGGAAGAGGGCCTCTCCAGCCCTGATCCCAGCATGTGTCAGGCCCCAAACAGGGAGGGGAGGGGATGTTCCGAGGTCCTTGCTTGGGTCGGGGTAGGGGGGCATTAGTAAGTACCCCTGGACCTGGACCTCAGCCAGGTCCAGCATAAGTGAGCTGGGCTATGCCATCCTTGATGGCAGGGAAGTCTGGGAGGCCAGTGTGGTGGACACGGCAGCGGTAGCGGCCACAGCTCTTGGTGTACTGCAAGAAGCGGGGTGCACCAGGGAAGAGCACATGGTCAGCTAACACAGTGGCACCAGCTGGCAGTAAGGCATGGGCCTCCAGCAGCTGCAGGTCCCGCAGGTAACAGCGGGGCCGGTGTGCCAGGAGCACCAGGTCTGCCCGACTCAGCTGGTGCTGGGTGCGTAGGTGCGGGATCACCTCCTCTGAGCTGCCCACGATGAGCTCCACCTGTGGGGGTAGAGGTGGAATGGAAGTGAGGGTGGGAGGGATTGTTCTCTCACTCCAGACACCAGCAGTATCTGGCTTACTTCATGCCTGGCCCTGGCCTAGGTCCCCACAAGTGCTCTAACATTTCCTCTGACCTCAGAACCCAAGAAGTCAGGATCAATATTATGATTTCCATTCTGCTCATGAAGAACTGAGATTCTGGCTGGGCGCGGTGGCTCACACCTGTAATCCTAGCACTCTGGGAGGCCAAGGCAGGAGGAGAGCTTGAACTCAGGAGTTTGAGACCAGCCTGAGCAAGAGCGAGACCCCGTCTCTACTAAAAAATAGAAAAGTAAGCCAGGCATTGTGGTGAGTGCCTATAGTCCCAGCTACTTGGGAGGCTGAGGCAGGAGGATCGCTTGAGCCCAGGAGTTTGAGGTTGCAGTGAGCTATGATGATGCCACTGCACTCTATCCCGGGCAACAGAATAAGACTCTCTCAAAAAAAAAACCAAAAACTGAGATTCAGAGGATGCGTGCTTTGTCTGAGGTCACACAGCTAACAAGAGGCAGACAAAGATTTGGACCCAGATTTGTTGGGTTCCAGAGACCTTCCTTTTAGTTTCTTTTGTCCTCCAGCAGAAAATATGTGCAAATGATTTGGGACAGGAGGGCAGGAGCTCACACACCATCCAGGATCCCAGTCCCTTATGTGGAGCTACTTCCATTTCCTTAGATGGGAGTCCCTGACAAGGGAGGCCTGGCTAGGGCAAGGTCTAGGGTGACAGGAGAGATTAGAGTTGGGGACATGGGGAGGCTGACCATGTGCTCGTCAAAGCCAGCCAGGCGAATGATTTTTTCAGCCACTGCTGCTGTTCGAGGGTCCCGCTCCACAGTGAGAAGACGACCCCCAGGGGGCAGGGCGCGGGCAATAAGCAGGGTGGAGTATCCGCAGTAGGTGCCCAGCTCCAGCACACAAGCAGGGGCCTTCTCCTCCACCAGCCGCATCAGGATCTGACCTATGCGGGGAGATGGATACAAAGGCCGTGATAGAAAGATCTCAAATGCCCACCTGCCTCCCTGCAGCTCCCAACCAGCTGTTGTCTCATCTCTCTCAGACCACAGCACCAGCTGCCCCACAGGTGCCGCTGCCTCCAGTCTAGTCTTCACACCAGCCACTAGCAATCTTTCTAACAAATCTGACTGTATCACTTCCAGGCTTCTATGATTCCAAAGGCCTTTGGGATTGAATTTGGGATCCTCTGCCTGGCATTCAGGACCCTGGACCTGATCCTAGCCTACCTTTCCAGTTTTAGCTCTCAATTCTTCCCACCTGTGACTTGTACTGCAGCCATCCTAAACAACTGCACACAATCAACCATGCTGTCTCATTCCTTCATGCCACGTTTGTTGTGTGGCTCACTTTGCCCTTCCCCACCCGTCTGCCTGGCCAACTCGAAAACCAATCCTTCTAGTCTCAGTTCAGTTGAAATGTTTATTGTTCATTGAATATTCTTCTTCCCTTCCCTCCCCTCCCCTCCCCTTCCCTTTTTTTCTTTTCTTTTCTTTTCTTTTCTTTTTCTTTTCTTTTCTTTCTGAGATAGAGTCTTGTTTTGTTGCCTAGGCTAGAGTGCAGTGGCATCCTCAAACTCCTGGGCTCAGTGATCCTCCTGCTTTAGCCTCTTGAGTAGCTGGGACTACAGGCATGTACCACCATGCCTGGCTAATTTTTCTATTTTTAGTAGAGACAGGGTCTTGCTCTTGCTCAGGCTGGTCTTGAACTCCTGAGTTCAAGCGATCATCCTACTTCTGTGGCCTTTTATCTCCTCCCCCCGCACCTAGCACATTCTTGATACAAAAGAGGTAGCAATAAATGTTTGCTGGATGAATGAATGACTTAGTCCAGGCCCCTCATTTCCAGATGAGAAAAAAAGAGACACAAAGAGGATCAAGAATCTGCCCAATTCATCCAATAGGGCAGCAACAGATCCCAGATCTTCCTTCACCATGTTGCGGGTACTTCCTGGAGCAAAAGGCTAGGGAACACTGACCTTTGACAGGGCCCATGTGGCTCAGGTGCTCGCAGTGGCTGCTCCAGTGGTCCAGGGTGGTGAGGATGTGACTGGGGTCACCGGGCAGGGCATGGGTAAGCACATAGCTGAAGGCCCGCTCCTCTATCCGCAGACCTGACAGGCAGTCTCGGAGGCTCCGCAGCAAGACTGTGCGTACCAGCAATCGGAAGTAGTGCCGGTACCGCACCAGCAATGTCACCACCAGTGGCAGGAAGGCCAGAGCAATGGCTGGGGACATGGTCTCTACCTGGGGCCTGGGTGCAGGGAGGCAGGGAGGGAAACCCACACCCACCATTTACCTGTCATTTGTGCAGCCCTTACCAGTGCAATTACTATCCTTATATGTTACCAACCATGGCTCAGAAAGGTTAAATCTTTTGTCCAGAGCCACGCAACAGAACCGGGATTTGAATCCAGGTTGGTATGGTTCCAAGCCCATGTACTTTCAAGGATTCCATACTGTCCATGTTTAGCACCCAACCCCAAACCACCTCTTCCTGGTCCCGTCTTCATATTGCTCTCCCCACTTGCTTCCCCTCATCCCTGAAGTCACTCCTTCTTTAGGACCTCTTTCACTAGTTCCCCTCTGGGATATCCTCCCCCTACTCTACCCCCTGCCTGCTCGGTCTCCTCGGACTTACTGCTGTGTAGCAAAAGAGCACAGCTTTTTAGTCAGAAACCCCTTCAATGTCACCATGCTCTGCCTCAGTAAAAGGCAATCAAAACACTCCATAGAGTGTTAGGGTGAGGTGCCCTTTTTCCCACCTGAGGACTCTGCCTCTGTCTATTCTGTGGGGGTGGGAAAAGTCCTGGATTCTGTCATAACTCTCCAGTCCTATCTCCCCTCCCTGTATTACCCTCTTCCCCTGTGCTCGCTCAGAATTCCCTTCCCAAGTGTGTATACACATAAAGCACACAGCATACACTTCCCCCTCCGCCACTCGGTCCTGTTCTCCAAGGTCCCCTGTGGGGGGATGGGTTCCCTCTACCGTGTCCTGGACCATCCTCCCCCCTCCTCCAGATCTGACCTCCTTTCAGGCCTCTTTGCAAGTACCCTGGTGGTGACTAAAAATGAAAGACGAGAGTGTAAATAGGTGAGTGATGCAGTGGGCTTGAACTGATGTGCTTAACCCACACTCAAGGGCCCTGCTTACCTGGGCTGCAGCCTCCTGCTTAGGAAAGACCAGAGCACAGGACAGGAAGTGGGGGGTAACCCTGAGGCAGAAGGCTGGACCTGCTTTCAATTATTGATGCTGAGGCTGCTGCTGTCACCTGAGATGTTCGGTTCAAGTTACCAGTCCCAGGGACAAGCTAGAGCTGCCTCTTACCCTTCAGGAGCTCTCAAAAACCTTACAGAACTCCAGGGTCTTGATTTGAGGGCTAATAAGAGTTATTAGATCTGGTGATCTCCTCCAGCCCCTTGGAGGAGACATGGGGCATGGTGTCAGCCAAGGTGATGCAGAGATTGTAATTTACTCATTAATTCAAAATTCAAGTTTCTCTAAGCAAGTGTCAGGGGTTGGGTCACATAGAAGAGTCAGAACCTGTCCCTTTCCTCCAGGAACTCCAAGATTGGTAGAAGAGACTGACCCAGAGAATACAATTTAGTGTGATTATTATTGGATGGTCCATGAACACAGGGACTTTGGCTGTTTTGTGAACTGCTGCATACACAGATAGAATGGTGTGTGGCACATAGTAGACACTCAGTAAATATTTGTTGATTCAATAAATGACTGAATCAGCACTGGATTAGGATTAAGCACAGGAAGCTGGAGATGCCGAAAGAATGGGGTCAGAGAAGGCAATCAGAAAGATATCATTTGGCCAGGTGAGGTGGCTCATGCCTGTGATCCTAGCACTCTGGGAGGGTGAGGCCGAGGATTGCTTCAGCTCAGGAGTTCAAGACCAGCCTGAGCAAGAGCGAGACCCATCTCTACTAAAAATAGAAAAAAAATTA